ACAGGTCGTCCTCGGCGGGGGGGCACCTGCTGTCCCGCTCTGCGCTGCAGTGACTGTGAAGGCGGATGAGAGCACACGATTAGTGCACAGCTGGGAAGAAAGGCAGACCTGTTAACACCTGAGCGGACTTTAACATTACAGCATCGCACGCGCGGGAGCCGCAAGACGCGCGTTACGTTCCATCCCGGGAGATCAAGATATGATACTACGTCAGCCGGGCGGCGGCAGGACAAGGTGTGGGACCACTGGCACATTTTTGTCGGCATTTCTCGTCTCCGCTTGTCAAGCCCTCCGGAGCTGCGGGGAGGTAGAGTGCGGCGATGGCCAGCAGTGCTGTCCACCCATCGTCACCGGGAACGGCAGTGCCAGCTCCACGGTGCGCTGCTGCAAGCTCCCCATCAACGTATTCTTCGATAACGTAGGCTGGTTTACGCGGAAGCTGTCGGGCATCCTGATCCTGTTACTGCTCTTTGCCATGGGCTACTTCATCCAGCGGATCATCTGCCCTCGGCCCCGCCGGCACCCGCACAATGACCGCAGCGAGGAGCCCTCCCTCTTTCACGGGCGCGCATCGGCGTCCCAGGACTCCCTGCTGGACCGGTACCCCGAGTGCAGCCTCGGGGACTTCGCCTCTCCGAACCTGCCAGCCTACGACGAGGTCAAATATTTGCCCACGTATGAGGAAAGCATGCAGGAAATGCACAGAGACCGGTCCGATGATAACTTGCTATCGGAAAACGAGAGGGGCGGTCAAGGCAGGGCGAGAGCGGCGGGACCGAGAGTTGGAGACCAGAGACGGGATGTCCTGGAGGTGTCAGGACCGCAACTCAGCCCAAGGACATCTCGGAACTCCGTCTGACGGAGAACAGAGATGGGGCAAAGCTAGAGACAAAGCTGGAGACAATTTAGCATTCTTATTTTTAATATAATCAGGGTAATTATCTTGCATAGGTATCAGCTCAAGTGCAATTATAATCCTGAATGTTAAGAATAAAGGAGGAAGCTGAGAAAATGTACGTGTTTTGTAAGATTTTAGGGGATTTCTCGCCTTTTGTATGCAAATGGCCGCTTGGGTTAAGCAAAGGAGATTATAAAGTAAGCGAAGGCGGCTGAAATTGACGCTCTTTGTGATGGGGACAGCTAATTTGGCCCCGGTATAATCGCATTAAGTTTTACTTCAGCACCTCAATTTTAAGTGGCACCGTGAAACAGTTTTTCTTCTGTCAAATTTTTCGTCCTTTCTTAGTCCCAATGCTAAATATTCGGCTGGACCTGAAAGACCTCCCTTTCTTTTATTTAGTATTTATTGAATTTGCATACAAAAGGAGGAATATTTAGATTTTCCCCCTCAGTAACCTGAAATGTGGGGTGAAAGAGGGAGTGAAGGGAAGAATATCAATTCAAAAACTTTCTAAGGCACACATTATCAGCCAGCTTTAGTGCCAGTTCATTTTTATAGCTTATCACCATGAAAGCAATATTCTTTCAAACTGACTCACATGCACATACACACATGCTTACACTGATGAGCATTTTATCAGTGACCTGTGCAATGTCTGATATGCCTATTGCAAAAAGCTGAAGCCACAGCAGAGAAGTTATGTTTTTTTCCTCTCTCTTTTTTTTTTTTAAATGCTCTCATCCTGGGAGCCTTGCTGCCAGAGGCTACATGTATCAGCGTCTCCCAGGTTTTGAATTCAGGAAAAACAATGGCAGAGATTACAGCTGGCATACTGATAGGGTGTACAGCTGCCAAGAAACAAAGTTGTATTTTGATGATAACATGTCAGACAAGATCACAACTGCTGCTCCAAGCAGAACTAACACTGTAAAAATGGGTGAGACAGAGACAGGAGGTAATCATTTTTTTGTTCTGGCAGAGTAGTCTGAAGATGCAGACTGAGAATACCTTCAGATCTACTAGTATGTGGCTCATAAGTTTGTAACTGTCCCCTGGTAATTTGCATTCTGACTAATGAGGCAAAAGTATATGCTGCTACAAACTGAAAACCAAGCTGACACTGCACACTTCATTACATCAGGCGTAATGGCCTGTTTACCTGGATTAAAGCTTTAGGTGTATTTGCTATTAACTGGCCATTAAAATGCCTCATTATTGAAAAGGCTGATTTGTCATTAGAGATTACTTTACTTTGACATTAACTGGGCGTGGGGTAAATGGTCACAATTAGCATATTCTCTCTCCAGCCCAGACTTAAAGAAATGTCAACACACCTTTAGTTCCAGGCCAAAACAGAAGGCAGCAAGTACATTACAAAGATAATCTCCACTAGGGCTGTAAGTAACAAAACAATTATTTTCATTGTTCAATAACCTTCCAATTTCAGTAATGATGAACTGACTTATCATTGGTCTATAAAATGACACAGAACAGTGAAAAATGTCTACCATAGGTTTCCAGTGCCCAATATGACATCTTCAAATGGCTTGTTTTGTCTGACCAACAGTCCAAAACACAGTGACATTTTGCTTACCATCATAGGAGGCTCAGAAAACCTACAAAAACTCACGTTCAACTTTGCTTATAAAATGACAAACTTCAAACTTCAATCCATTATCAAAATAGTCGGCAATTAATTTTCTGTCAATCCACTAAAATAATTATCATTTCAGCTCAAATCTCCATGACATCAAACAAATCTCTCCACCCATGGCCAACAAATACTCATTTATTTACCTGTCCCAAATAGGAAGTGTTGTATATAGTATATAAACTGTGCAGCTTTATTTAACTCTTCTTTTTTCAATGGTTCTTTTAATAGTGCATAAGTAGGTGTAAAGCACCTGGTGACTTTACTTTATTTAATCAACTCAACTGGTTTATCTGTGAAGCTCCAGGGTGACTATCCATCCAGGGTGCCATCAGATAGACCAATGCATACTTGTTAGAACAGTGTAATACTAGACAGGATATCAAAGAGATTCTTATTCAACGCAAGTAAACTAGCTACTTAAATGTGGAAGAAGCATCTGTATCTGCAAACCTAGACTTTACAATTAGAGGCCTGAGCTCCTCTAATGCTCCTGACACTAAAAGCCTGAGTGTGATTGTGGTGGCTTGTGTAATCCAATACTAGCAGACCATGATGGCAGAGCCAATAGTGAACACTGATTACTTTCCTTTCCAGAAGGACATTTGTGGATGGGTGGAGTTTGGACTTAAAAGCATTAAATCCATGCTTAAAACCCATGGCTGGTTAAATGAGGCAGAGTACGTGACACTAGGATGCATGAATCCATGTATTAGTGCAACTCAAGAGGTGTGAATGTTGCATGTCACTCTCTCCCTGGAAAATTGTTGCAGTTCATGGTGAAGCAGCTCATATACCTGACAGTGGTACTGCAGAGCAGAGGGCATACACAGTCTTTTACAGTTCCTAGAATGAAACTTGAAATCAGACAACGTAAAGCTGTGACTTCCCTTGGCCCAGGCAGGCAAGAGAACAGTGAAGAGTGAGTTTTCTTCTCCTCAAATACACATATTACAAATCCAAACATATACTGTATGTGCATCGACGCATACAAAGACACAGACAGAAAAAAGCATACATGTACACAAATAAACACAGCGATGAATACACAGTACACACACACACACACTCAAAATGGATTTAGTGTAAGCAACATTAGAATCTGCGCTAATGATCCAGTCATTCTATTGCTCACTGGACCAAAGAACAGATAAACTATAAAGGTCAAATCAATAAGCATTAACATCTTCATAAATTCTCCATGATACACGGGAAGTGTATTTTTGGGGGAGCTGATTTGTTCCATCAATCTAATAAATGAGAACTTGCTAGTCATTGAAAGTGGGAATACAGCTCTGTGGTTTAATAAAAGTACAGAATCTGTTTAGTATTTTGTGCTGTGTAGTTTCACAATTATGAAATACTTACTACTAAGATTGGTCTAAACGAGACTTTTCTATTCTTAATATACAGATGAGGCTCAAAATGTCTAGTGTAGAACTGCATAAAAATACATAATATAGGTTTAATAAATTGTCCAGTTAATTCTTTTTCATTACCAATAGAGATAGGTACATTTATTGTCACAGTATAACATTATATAATGAAATTGAGCTTTATAACTCCCTTCTGCTACATAGCAGACAATATATATTAATACAGAATCAAATATATAATATAAAAAATCCTAGTGACATTACTGAGATTGGGTACAGTATGAATTGCATAGTTGAACAGGAAGTATGAATACAATTGGCTGTTTCACTGTGTGTGGTCGTTCTCAGTGGTAATGCATTTGAAACCTGACTCCTCGCTGATAAGTCTTTTCATAGATTAATGGTGTTTGTTCTGGATGACTATGGTTTATCACACAGTGAGTAGGCTTAGAAAGAAAGCGGATGGAGGGAGTAAAATAAGAGAAAGACAGTGAGTCAGAGAGAGACTTAGGCGAGAAGCGGTTAAAAGTGCAGGGTGCTGAGGAAAAAAAAGCAAGCACAAGAAAAAATGAACCCATTGATAGATTTACCTACATCTACCATTTTCTCTGATGTTTCAGCATCTATGGCCTCTCACAGTTTAAAGGATTATGCCAATCAAATTCTACCATATCTGTTCACATCATCGTGATATGATCTAGCAGTTGTTTCTTGGAGGCCTGACGCAGATCTTCTCTCTCGTTTGTCCCTCCTGTGCCACTAGAGTGGAAGGATAGGCTATAATGGTCTGCTGACGTACTGGCCTGCTGCCAGCCAGGGGGTGGAGCTGAATGGCAAGCAGTTGGTTTCACACCTCAGCAAAAAAGGAAATACAAGAATAACTCAAAGAGAAGCCCATACTGTAGATATATTGGACTCAAAAAACACACATGCACCCAGAAATACTCTCTGGTGAATGTGCAAAGCTGAAAAAACATCTCAAAGATACTATTACTATTTTTGTATAAAACCAGTGAAGCATCAAGACATTAAAGGAATATGAAAAATAGAGAAAGCAAGATAAAAGAGGATATCTTGGCTGAATATACACAGCATTTCCAGCTGTTTTATTAACCAACATTCTTTTTAGTGTTTACAGAAGGCATGAATATATGAACTGTAAAAATATCTATACATAAAAAACACATCAAACATCACTGACAAAAACAAAGCAATATGTTTGGGCATGACTGAGCATACCAAGCTAATTTTGACAAATGGAAAACAATCAACTTTGAATGTGACACACTGAAATCACCAAGAAGCTGATATGACTGGAAAGCCATATTGTTGTTGTTGCTGAAAAATATAGATACAGTTCAAATGTCACATCATCCACCCACAGAAACAGAATGTCATGTACAACATTGTGCAAATGTTTTACATTATGCAACATGTGCCACACGACTGTAGTAAGTCGAGTGTCATATTAATCGTGGCCTACTGATCTTCACATCTCCAGATGGTCCCTTTTGTTTTTGCTTGCATGTACGTTTTAACTAACGGTGGGCAAGTACAGACATTTTTTTATTACTGAGGCCAAGCCAAACCACCTAATCTTCACCAAATGTTAAAAACACATAGGAATCAAATTCTGCAAAGCTGATGTTTTAGAGAAAGGTCCCCTGAACATTAACGTCGTGAAGCCATGCTACTCCTCATAGAGGCATTAGCAGCTTTCTCTCTCTCTTTAGACAACTCCATCTCTATCTTCGCCTGGATTTTTTCCCAGTCCACCTCAACCTGGCAGAGAGACAGAAAGACGAGATGAAATGAGATTAGATAGGCTACTGTATTTTGCTCGGATCAGTTTGGGATTGATACGCAAAGCAGCTAAATTGGTTACATTACATGATAAGGCGGGGGTTACACTGGCGCCCGAAGTGTTTCCCGTGGGAAAAAATTATAAAGAGAGACCCTCCATTGCTAAAAAGGCATCCAATGTGATCACTGCACAAATCAATTAATGCAGTGCAGCAGACAGGCTCCCATAACTTACCCCTTCAGCATACTGCAGGAATCTTTTATTGGTCTCCTTCCTGCCAAATGTCTGTAGGAACTTCTGTCTATAGGCCAGCACGGTGTCCACATGGGTCTTGTGTTTGACTGCCAGCTCCAGTGCCCTAGACACAAGATGACAATATGTAGATACACATCCATCCTGTATGTACAAACATGCTACACTTTAACTCTCGCTCGCTTACAAGGCTGAGAAAAAGCCTCCTCCAAAACGACTCGTACAGTCCCCCTCCTTCCAGCTGTCCCATTGTACACACATTCACACAAACACTGAGCTGTACCTCTCCCAGCTGAACAGGTCAATGTTGATTCGTATGGCCTGGTAGATGAGACCAGCTTGTAACAGTGTGGCCTCAGCCTCGTGGACCTGACCACTGAACATCAGCATGTGGGCCAAAGATGACTCCTTAGATGGCTGCTCCTTTATAAAGTTGATGTACTGCACCCTAGGTAACTAAAAGGAGAGAGGAAATGCAGAGGGGGAAAAAAAGAGATTGTGAATGAGATACCTTATAATTGGTCGCTTTGACTCAACTATTCTTTTAATATAATTAAAGTTGAAATGAATTCAATTATGTACATGTGTGATTGTGTTGGAAATAAAACGGTGCGTTTGACTGAATTAACCATTAACCAATGCTCTTACCTCTCCAATGGCAGCATAGGCCATCTCCGCTGTAGTCAGCTCCCTGTTTGCCATTGCCATACAAGCAAGACATGCCCACAAAGATTGGTCCTATAAATATGGGGAGCAGAGGCTGTGAGCTTCTTTAAATAATAAAATCTCACCATCTGACAAACTGACTTGGAGACTAGTCTACTAGTCTGTTTCCCCTGTTTCTATATATGTAATTTCCATGACCTTGTGCCTTATTGAAAAGCTTGTTGTAAGATCTCATGATGTGTCAGCACAGAAAACGTTGCAGCTGCTTTTTTTAGTTGTCTTCATCTCATGCAAATCTGACGAAACCGATACGCTTTTATCAATCCAGCTGTGTATACAAGCTCTCGTTTTAGTTTACGCGCGCATAAATGTATTGTGTGTTGACTCTAGGCGTCATAAAGTCATAATGCAGGTCAACTACAATCAATACTGTGCCTGAACACATTCTGTGTAGACACAGAACTGAAACAACTGAAGCTGCTGCTGCTCAGACTGCTGTGTAGAAGCACAAGTAAGTGACACACAGTCATGTTGAAAGTGAAGTGAGTTTGAGTTAGTTAGCTATTTTTGCAGGATTCTAAATACTATCTGAACATATGTACATTTTATTTAACTGTGTCCTAAAAGTTTTATTTAAAATGCAAAGTCAGTACTAGCTAGCAGGGATTAAGAATATAACAAAGCATGATGGGGATGGCAGATTCAAAACAGTTTGAGGTGTATGTGTGTGTGTACACACAGTGAGTATGACAGTGTCTTTATAGCCCCCTTCACATCCTGCTCATATCCTGGCAGGCCTTATTGTAGTCACGCTCCACGCCATTATGACAACATTGCATGACACACATAAAAACAAACAGACATTTGCTGTACACAACATCTATGAATGTAAACAAATGTGTCACCACTTTATTCCGTGCAGCTGCACTCATTAAAATGAAGCTTTAACCACCAACTCGCCAACAGTTCAGCAAACTTCACACTGGAGTCACCACTCTGTAATCCCCCCCCCCACCCTTAATCAGTGTCCATCACCAAGACAAACAGTGTAATTTGTTGTTTCCGGGAGTGGTTTCCGATTAGAGCTGGCAGCCACTGCCCGAGGTCATAAACTTGACACAAAACCTTGGCCACCTATCACAATTAAAGGGAAAATCTTCCTTTTGTGTGCCTGTATCATTATTACTTTATTAATGTCATCTACTGCTTGTTAAGTTTGGATGTATGGCTCTAAACTACAACATGTATCAACATCTATCAGGTGAGGGCTTACTCAAAACAACAACTGTGATTCTGGGAAAAGTCGTGCTGCCACCAGACTCTTACCAGGAATAGAAGGGGGGAGGGGTCCAGGGAAAAAACTCTTAAAACCAGTGCTCTCTCTCCATCCCATTTGTCCCACCCTCCTCTTGCCACTAGCTGTCAATTTCTCTTTGCCCAAGCAAAGACACAGTCTTTACACTGAGTTCAGCGTGAGCATGTATGCATGTGGAGAGTTTAACCATGCATACAACGGAGTATGTATTTATGAGTGAGGTCTATGGAGGCTAAATCCGGTAAATGGTGTCACCAGGCTAATTGAAGGATAATTAAAGCCTGCTGTTCTGGTCCCATAAACCTGTCTACTACCTTCTCATTTCAGACTCTGTCTCACTCTCTTGCATGCATACATACATGCGTGACACACGCCACATGAACCTGGACTTTGCCAGAGCCCACGGTATCTTGAGGTCAATTATATAAATACAAACGCAAAATAAAATATTGTTTAAGGTATTTAAAATGTAAAGAAAAAATTCTAATGGGTATACAAACACTAAGACCATATGTAAGAATGTACACATTAATAAAGATATGTAGGTATTTTAAATATCTAAGACTTTACTGATCTGTCCATGTTCAAAAAACTAATCAAAACCACACACACACACACACACACACACACACACCTGTAAAGAATGCTTTCAAAACCAGACCACCCTGTGCCTTCAAAACAGTATCAATTCTTCTAGGTACACTTGCACAAAGTTTTTTGAAGTAACTCGGCAGGTAGCTTGGCCCAAACATCTTGGAGAACCACCCACAGTTCTTCTGTGTTTCTTTGTGCTTCTTCAAAAGAGCTTGGACAGCACATATGGAAACCCCTGTCTGCCATGAAATGTCCTACCTGGGAGAGACCTTGCTGATGCAGTTTAACTACCTTGTTTCTTATTGCTGTTGTTCTTGCCATGGTGCATTGCTTTTGACAGTAAACGGTCTTCTTTAAACCTCACCTTGTTAGCTGAGTTTGGCTGTTCCCCACCCAATTTTTTTCCTCCTACACAGCTGTTTCTGTTTTAGTTAATGATTTGTGTTTCAACCTACATATTTCATTTATGATCATTAGCACCTGTTTAATTGTTTGAATCATAAATCATGAATTTGAAGGCTAAGGGTGGTCACACCAAATTGATAATTTGATTTAGATTTTTCTACTCACTTTATATTTTGTTAATTGATAAACATAGTCTATTACTTGTATATTTTTGATTGCATTCTTAAGGTCTTTTCACACGGGAAGCGACACTCCGCCTGCGTAGTTGCTTGGCCCCACGGGGTTGCTCTGCGCTTCTCATGTGAACAGACAGGGAGAAAAGCGCTCTGCGAGTAAAAGGCAGTCGCTCTATGGATGTAACCAGGGCAATGGCCTCTGTGTGCTACACAGCTGTACCCTATTTAACTTAAGTTAAAATTATACATAACGTTACCAGATATATCCAGCTTTGCGAGGATACTCTGCCAAGTGAATTCCTTCCTGTAGATGTCCTGATAACTATTTAGTAAACAATAATATTTCTGCAAACTCAAACAGCGAGGATGAGTCTCTCCTCCATTGATCTGTGCTGCATGTTGAGTACAAAAAGTTCAAGACAATTCAACTTCGGCAGCAGGAGGGCATGTGCGTGGGGCGTAAATTGCTTCCTATGTAAAATGGCCTTTACTTTACAGAGTTTTCTTTAATTTTTCAGTCTTTTACGCGGTGTTGTACATATATATTTGAATGCGTTTTAATGACCTTTTTAACCTATGTGAAGTGTCTTTGAGTACCATGAAAAGTGCTCTATAATAAATAGTATTATTATTATAATTTTTACCTTGGCGAAGCGGCAGAGGCGCAGTGCATCCTCCCAGCGTGCAGAGGTGCTGTATTCGTGCAGGAGGGCTGGGTAGGGAGGTACAGTGCTGAACACAAGTGAACCGTCTCCTTGGCGTAAGGTCACCTTCGTGCCAACATAGCTCAGAATGTGGGGTGCACGGCTAAACTCGCTTTGAAAAGGACAAATACACACACTATATATATATATATATATATATATATATAAAAAGAGAAAAAATACATGCAACCACATCCTCACAGTTTTGTTGTCATGGTAAAGCCAGCAAGGAACATACTCAGTGTTTGACTGTTTGCAAGTATCAAAAGTGGGTGTGAAAAAAGTATGAATGCTCATGTGGGAAGACAAAACAGTTCAGTAACGTCTATCCTAAAAACCTAGACGCATTTGTACAAATGGAGTCTTTGTATATGCTTATTTATTAGCTCCTGCCACTGTATATGTGGTGTTTTGCGCACATTTCTATGCACATTGCTTAAAAACAAGATTTTAATGACATGATAATGATAAAATCTGTGTGTTGGGACACCAAAATAGTAGGAGCAAAACTACAACAAAAAAGCCCCTGACACATAGCAACACAAATTCAGGTAGTTTTCACAAAAGTAACCTAGAATTGCAAAACATGATTCTATTAAGAGCAACTGTATATCTGAAACGGTATAATAAATTAACAGCAAGCCCTAAAAGATGCAAAACAAAATAAAGAAACATACACTAAGTACAATATGAGGACAAATAAAAACAAAGCTGTGCAACCAAATGTTCCGTTAACTGCAGCAGAGACATGCAAAAACAGTTCAGGATCGCCTGTATAGACAGTGCAGACACTATGCCTTAGCACCTCCTGTACTGGCTGAAGCTGACAACTTTTGGGCAGGAAATATTGTACAGTTTGACAGCTGCTGGCAAAACAAAAAAGAATGCCTAAAGCGCTATGTGTTGGACCTTGGGGAATGAGCTGGAAGGTGCGAAAAAGCTGCTTCTACCTCCGTTTTAAGCTCTTATCTTATACCATAACCACCCAGTATCAGCTAAGTATAACAGTGAGAGCAAAGGTCTGCACATGTCTACCTGCCATCCTTTATGCACAGTGTTTTTGGCAGCAACTCCTTGTCAGTGAAGACAGCACTCGGGTAATACCACACTGTTAACTGGTTGTCTTGGACTCCACACAGGATGTTAGAGGCATCATTCCATGCCATACTGTGAACCATGCTACCTATGGGACAGAGCACACATACAATCATGTTCATCCATTGTTACCTACACTTGTGTGTAAAAGCAAAGAGAGTCACTACACATCATGCCAAGTGAGTTCACGCCTCCTTGTCTCACCAATTTTGCAGATTTTGGGTTCTCGCCCAAGATGATGCACAGAGGTCAAGTAAAGGTCACGGTTCTTGTCTATTAAGGCAATTTTCCTTTCAGTGGATGGACCACGCTGATCCAGAGCTATCTCCACCACCTCCAGCTACATATGAACAATGACACACACACAAGCACAAAGGTAAGAGTGGAACATAGGAATGAATGATGGAGGGACGACAAAAGATCAGGAAAAGAAAGGAAAGGACGGGGGGGGCTGGTTTTTACCGTGACCCAACAGCCTTTCAGCCAAGTATGTGTGTGAGTGTGTATGAAAGAGAGAGAGAGACATCGAATGGGTCTACGTGTGTCTGAACCTGTGTGTAAGTGAACGTGTGTGTGTGTGTGTGCGTGTGTGTTTTTGGCCAAAGCCAGCTGGCTTCAGTGCAGTGTCTTGGAGCTGTGCAGTACTGGCAGACAAAGCCATGCTGACAAACAGTAAGTACTGCTACCTCCACTCCTTTTCCTTCTCTTCCAATTCTTTCCTTCTTTTTGTCTCTTGCCCTCTTATAGTTTGACTCCAAAGCCCTTCCCCCATTCTCTTCCTGTGTCTTTATTGTCTCTCCCCGTTCTGGATATGGGTTAGTATATTATTTTAGCACAGACTCCCACTTTGAAAAGACTGTTCCCTCAAAAAAGTATATTTAGATGAAACACAGCCTGTTGAATGATTAGGACAAAAAATTACCCACTACCTTTAGCGGAAGTTGAAAGATTTGCCTCTTTGGATGCATTCTATAACAAAAAATACTCGGCAAAGCCAAACAAAAGTGAGATTTAGGCCTTTTTATTAGCATTTTAAGGGTCTGGTCATGTCAGCATCAAAATTTGCAGCTATTACACTTACTACTGCCCCATGAACATGACTTTGGCTTGCTAAAATAAGGTTGTTAACATTGCTAAGCTATGGCTGGACAATTGATGTTTGTGAGAAGGGTCAGCCAATCTCATGAACTAGTAAGAATGATAAAGGTGTAGGGTGTTCCGCCCTAAGGTGTAGCAAAACAGAGGAGAGTAAGAGGGATGTCAATCAAGCGCAGTCTGTACACACACAGTCCTGTCTAATCTGGCAAATGTGAAAACACCTATGTGGGTGACTGGGTGTGTAGGGCCTTTAAGATGTCACAAGCTCTAGTAATTTAAGATGGGAACTTGTCATATTTAACATTTTATTTACACAAATAATACCAAATACAGCCATGAAAAACATAATCCTGTAGATAAAGTGGTAAATTCTCTGTGTTTCTGTCCTAAGTATCATTGATGGTCAGAGTACAATAAAATCAAAATTTACATTATCAAAATAAAAATACTAAACAACTCTATTGACCTTATGGGGTCCCATTTCATTTTTTTTTCCTCTAAACTTAAGGTTGCTATAGAGGGTATGTGTTGATGTCACTTCCCCTTCCGGAACACGCTGGACTTAGTGGCAAAACATCTGTTACCATGGCTGCGTTTAGCAAACAGGGAGTAAAACATGTGATTATTTGCTCAAATTAAAGGCAGTTGGACTTGACAGTGATCCTTACTGCTTACCAAAGAACCAGTGGTCCAGCTCTTTCCCATCTTAGATGTGTTGTTTGTGTTTTAGCTGATTCAAGCTAACACTGCTGCTCGTCTTTCTGCCACTCAGTGAGCATAACTGCATTCTGTGATGTCATGCGCATACCCTCTATTGCTGGCTATAGTAAATACATGTAAAACGTTGTGGTCCTGATCGGTTCACATAGTCTACAATAAATTTTCTCAAGGTTGGGAAAACACCAGCACATCCACCACAGAAAAAGATTTTATGCCCTAAATTACATTCGTTAACTAGCTTACAAATAGCTTACTGTGTGCAGCAGTATATTTGTTGAAAAGTATCAAGAGCTGTTAATTCTAATGTATCAATTAAATGATGCAGGTTATTAAGTATTAACTATCTACATTCTTCATAAACCATCACTCAACCAGAGCATTTTTGATTTACTGGGGTGGAATGTAATAAAACACATCTTTTCACCAAACTATGTAATATCCATGAGCTATCAATGAGTTCATGTCATAGATAACTGGCCTGTGTGTAATAGTGTAACTAAATTAGTCTTCACTGTGCACTGGGTTTTGGATGAAGAAATATTGTATTAACACACGTCTTGAACAGCTACAGACAGCTTCTGTTACGATATCACATTGTTATAAACAGATAATAAAACACAAATACCAACACATTCTGAACAGTCATCATGACTATTATGACAGTACCATGACAAGCTGATCCCAGCAATATGTGGGAAAACTGATCTAATTAGCGCCACTATGTAAATAGTGATCAATGTTTGTCAGACTGTTGTAAGAGAAAGAGAAATTTTCCTCCAGCTTTGGCACTGCACGTTATATTAAAACCAAAGCGACACGTTTCCGCGCTGCCAGTCTAGACAGCAAGTTAAAAAACAAAGCAATTCAGTCGGCACACTTCCTTGTTGCTGAAACACAGAAGGTCAATATAAGGGCAAAGGATTACCCACCTTGTGAGTCAAGGGCTTCCCATCGCCAAGTGCTTTCCCGGTCAGAGTGTCAAAGAGAAGGATGACTGGTGAGGAGAAAGGAAGGAACACCATAAAAGCACAGTCCATCATATTTATATAATTATAGTGGCGACAGCAGTCCCCTCACCTTTTTCATCACTCTTGTCTCGGATGGCAATGGTGTCATTACTAAGTGAGACACCCTGGGCATTTAGGATGTCAGCTCTCATTCCAGGGAACTTGGGGGAGGATATCAATCGAGCCTCATAGGAGAACGTATACAATCCTGCTCCGTCAACTAGCAGAAAATATCTGGGTGGGGGAGACAAGAGGAAATAGTGATATATACTATGTAGATAAAGTATAGATGATCGTGGAATAAGTGTACTGTATGTGACTGTGGGGTAGCATGAAGTGGGAAGAAGGGGTGAAAAGAGGGACATGAGATGAATGAAATGAGTAAGAAAATGAAGAGTCGATAACAGTTAATCAACTGACACAGCAGCTAATTTAATGTGTTACTGTAATGCACTGACTTACTCAGCAAGACTTATCATACTCAACTGTGATTTCAGAATGGCCAGTAATCTATTTACCTTCAATGTTGAGTATCAGGGACACTGCACTGGAGTATTGCACAAGAGCTACTCCATATTAATCTAATTTCCCCCAGTGGTTTCACTCACAGCCATATTGTATGACAGAGCTGGCTAATCTAGAGCACAGCCTCTGTGTGTGTGTTTACATGTGTGTGCTTGGTTGGCTGCTTGGTGAGTTGTCAGTGCAGAGTAATGAAGCATTAGAGAAGCTGATCCAGCAGCGTGTTTTCTCTCTTGTTGCACTGCTCCTGGAATAGAGAGACTCACTTCTCCGCTTGCAGGATGAGGCTCACTGTTCCCTCCTTCAGGTCAAAGATGAGGGGAGTATTCCAGTTTCTTGAGCTGGCATAATCACAAAAACACACACACAGCAAAATGTGTGAAAACACAGTTATCTAATAACAAAGTGCTACATCTCACATTAGGTGTAGAGGTGAGAATGCCACAGAAACAATACCAAGAGCAGAAAGGCAAAAAGTCAACAGACAACAAAATAAAGGAAATATATATGAAAGGAGAGGAGATAAATCTACAGATAGAGCATGAAGAGTGCATTGAGAAAGGATTACACAAACACAAAAAGTATACTTCAGCAAGATCAGAGGAGTAGCCCCAGGATTTGGTCAATACATGAAAAAGATGAGTATATGTTGCACAAATCCCTATGTGTGAGGAAAATTCTGAAATCCTAAAATTTTCCATGTAGCATTAATAGGGGACAAGAGGACCAGAGGAGACAAGTGAAGGAGGAGTAGGCTACTGACTTGTAGACATAGCACTGGAGGGAAGTGGCGACCACTAGGTGACCGTTTGCCAGAGAGGCTTTGATGACTCGATCTCTAAACTCCAATACGTCCACTGCATCGTTCATCACATTCCTCACCTGGCGAAAAAAGTGGGAAAAAAAGAGGATACGGAATGAATAAAGGTCTTAGCAATGACTGAACAGGCATAAACTTTATACTACTGAGCAAACACTTTACATTTAAACTCGCAAACAACAAAGGGGAGACAGAGGGGTGAATACAGTCACGTCAACATTGGAGTGTATTTATCCTTAATATACACAAGAAACTGTCTACAGTATGTCCAAGTATACGTAGGGTAACTGTGGTCAGAGAAAGCAGTTTTTACTGTTTTAAGTGTGTGCGTGCAGTGGTTGGTACTCATTTTTTCACCTGCATAGATAAATACTTCCCTCCAGCTCTCTCTGTAAATGAATGAAAAGGCCTTTTCCAGCACCAGGTGAAAGGTGGGGTTATTTTTACAGCTTTACAAATCTTCCTCCTCTGCTCCCTACAGCAAGCCAAATTTACATGCAACACAACCAGGAATAAAAAACATTTGACCGCAAGGTGGTAAATTTAGCTGGCTGATTCACAAACCACTGGCAGATGTGCACTTTTAAAAAGGACTGCGAGGAGGAGAGGGGGAGGAGGGAGACAGAAAAGCGCCTGCAAGGCTGAAAATAAATGGCTTATGATTGTTTGGTTTACACAAGCTGTGCTTTGTAAAGATGCACATGTGTGTTGGCACACATGTATGTGCTGACCTTGTTTCTGTAGGTGTGCGTGTGTATCCGTGTCTCAAAGTATAAAAGTGTGTGTGTATATGTACATTTGGGTGTGTTAACCGCATGTAAACGCTACCTTGTGGTTAGCATGAGTTTAAACAGTAGAGAATGGTGGAGTGAGAGAGGCAGCTAGACAGGCTGGTCATTGTCATTGAAGGGCTGCACACTGGGAGGGTCCTACCGTAATATATGGCCACAACTAGTCAAGGTCTAGGAAACATTTGCTCCTCTACATAGCATATTCACTCACCTCTTTACAGTCTGTCTATGGCATTATAGTACTTTTCAATTCCCTTGTAATGCTAACACATAACTGAGCTTGGCACTGTTAATGTTGGCCTGGTGAAAATCTATAATCCTATATAATCTATAATCTATCTTTTCCTCACAGACATGCTGATTTTTACTGATATTTGTCCACATTATGTAAAACCATAACTCTTATAATGGACAAGGGCTGAAGGATTTTGGTAAGTAATCTAATTTTTTTACCAAAATGGCAATGGCAGCTCTTTATCTTCTGTATTATTTGAAACAGACAAGCAATAAATCAGTGTGTAGTACGACCAACACAATATGTTTTGTTGTTGTAGATTAAAAATAAACTGTTCTTTCTTTCCTATTTTATGATGAAATTAGATGATGCATAATTGTATAAATTATTATTATGAGCAATGGTGGTGAAGTAGTATCAAATTATAATAATTTCAGAGAAAGCTAATTTGAGTCAAATCATGGCATTAAATAATATATAATACCATCAGGTAGGCCTACCTACAAACGACAAGAAAAACAAAGTTCACCACAGTGTATTATACAGTAAGCGAATCAAATCCATGAGTCCATATCTCAACAAAATACTCCTTTTTTTATATACCTTCAAGCACACAAAAAATACTCAGTTTGAGGTTCAATACAAAAGTTGGCCAACAAAAATAAAACAAAGTGATGCCTCTCGCGTCTAATAGACCAGCTTAGTAATTATCCGACAACACTGGAGTCCCCCCCCCTGCAGCCGCCCGATGCTGCTTATAAGCAGTGCTCTGGCTGTAACAGACTGGCCCTCTTCTGGACTGATGAGTTTAGTAGCAAACAAAATATTTCTTGTAAATCTCATCTTAAACATTAATGTAATCAAATCAAATATAAAACCAAAGCTATTTGCCACTGCCAGGGCATTACCTTTTAATCTAGCTTGATAAAACAAGTTACCAGAGTCGAGAGCCATGATCATAACATCGTAAGACGCACCTTCTTAGCAACAGGTTAACATACATAAATCTGTTTCCTTGTTTTTTTTTTCTGAACAGGTATCAGCAGAAACAGTTTATGTTCAGTAGCAAGTGTCCCTGTTAGAGTGATGTGAAATGGTCACCTCACGCACACGCCCGCCGCCGAAGGTGAATTGTCTTGAACTTTTCGTACGCGACACCCAGCACAAATCATTGGAAGAGAGACTGATCCTCGTGTTTGTGAGTTTCCAGAATCTATTACTGTTTACTAAATAGGACATCAACAGGAGGGAATTCGCACGGCAGAGCACCCCCGCAAAACTAGATGAATGCCTATCAGGTAAAGTAATGAATAATTTTAACTTAAGTAAAATAGGCTACAGCTGTGTAGCGCGTAGAATCCATCGCCATGGTTACTATCCATAAAACGCCTGGTGTTTACTCGCGGAGTACCGTCTCCCTTTTTGATCACCGGAGAAAAGAGCAACCCCATGGGGCCAAGCGACTACATTGTGATTTTAAGAACGTTCCTAAGATCGACATCTTCCCCAATACTAATCAGCATTCAGTGTGTAGCTATCCACTTCACTATGGCATTTGTTCACTTGTCTTGCTTTTGTTTATCTACTTCTCCCACATGCTGCATCCAAGTAGTCTGCTGAAGCCTCCCCCCACTGCTTGTTTGGGTGGGTGATTTGCAGGCTGATCAACATCCCACCCCTCCTGTGACCCATGGTTTGATGTGTATTCAGAGCCAGTGAGCAACAGACTTTCAAAATAATATAATAATAATAATAAAAACTGCGTTAATGTGTGATAAAATAATTGTCAGCATTAATTAATAAATGCGTTAACATACCGGTAATATTTTATCACTTCTTTTGTTTCATCAAATGAACTCAAACTTAACATTGACATCAGTCACTGAGTCCATAGACAACTGACTTTTTAAAGTTTAAAAGGAGCAGAAACATGAGTGGGGTTGTGTGTGTGGCTCTCATTCTACCTGCATGGTTCTCCTCTTGGTAAGGGTGATCACGAAATTCTTCCACTCCCAATGCTGCTCCACCACATGGGCAAATATGACATGCCCATTGCCACAGGCCCCAGCCAGCTGGGTGCCGTCTGCAGACCAGGCCAAGCTGAACACACTGCCTGTGTTGGGCTTCTCCAACGCATAGGACCACTGAGGATGGGAGAGAGAGAACAATATGGTTAATGGCTACAGAAATGTATCTACAATCTCAAACAATTACCTGGGGTGCAGCTTTGCATCTAGAAACAATGAGAAGTTTAGAGAAGAGAAACGGTGAGAGTGAAGAGTCATGTATTAGTGAATGCGTATGTGTGTGTACGTAAAGTAAACTCTGCTAGAAAGACAGGGGCCCAGTCAGTCAGTCATTGAGCTGTGATGAACTGTGAGACACTGAAGTAGCGCTCGGCCCTGCCAAGTCCAGCACTCGCTCTCATAAACATACACTCTGCTATCCTCATTTATTACATACACGGGGGGCAGGGGGAAAGGGAGGAAGGGGAGGGGGGGGGTTATATACAAGCCCCCAAACTGAAGCCAAAAGCTGATTAAGACCCCGCCCTTCTTTTTATAATAAACGTTTTGAAAGACGTAGAGCTTGGGTCTCCATGTCTGCTGCATTGCGTTGAGTCAGCCAGACTCTGCACTGTTGATCACTGTCAGTGATGGCAAAAGACACAACTGAGAGACACAAAGCCCTTTACAGCATGTAAGACAAGACCTCTCTCATCTGTCCTTGTTTCCCTTGAGGTATCCCTTTTCTCTGTGTAATCTGTTTATTTTCTCTGTTTCCTGCTACTGCTTTTCCACACTCATGTCCTTCACCTCTTCTGTGGAGTATCACGACATTCTTCTGCTTTAATTCAACACAAAAACAGTTGAATCTAGATCCACCAACAGTTAAAAGTTGTTCAATTTGTGATTTTTCAGGACCATCACTCATAAGGCCAGACAGTAGCTACATTAGCAGAGTTAGGTACACTAAATAAGTTTCTATCCCCTCCAAATATAATTTGTTGTGAATCTTTCTGCTATAACTACTGCTGACTTTCTCGCTCAGCCACCAGCCACCACAACCATCAGCCTTCCTCATCCTCACCCGGCCCTCCCTGACCTCCAAGTGGTTGACTGATCTGAGTTGCATTAGGGGTTTCTCAGCTGTGATCTTCCACACAAATACATACATTCACACTATAAACTGCTTATGAAGGAAGAAAAGTGCTAATGTTAGCCCAGTGCTGTCTGCGATGGAGAGACAAGTGTGGTGCAGCAGGCCAAGTGCTGCGGTGAAGTTTGGAGAAAAGGTCTCAGTGTGCTCGCTGCCTCACACACAAGCAGCTGCGGGATGTGAGGTGTGGCGTGAGGTAACAGTCGGCAGGCTACAGGTTACAGGCCCGCTGCTTGGATCTCTCCCCCTCTCCTGGTCTGTCTGCCAGCATCATACACACACGGCTCAGCTGGTTTTGGTCAGCAACCTCCCAGCAGTTAATGTCGTATCAGGACCCAAAATAGTTAGAAAGAAATAGTTAGTTAAATTAAAAGTTAAATTAATTGCTATTTAACTTCTTTCGCTTCTCCTCTCCCTTTAATTTCTGCAACTCCTAAGCTTCCTTACTTAAAAATCCTAAACAGGAATTAGCCCTTCTTTATATATATATAATTTTTTACTTTTTTTTTTCTCTCTTTTCTCAGTCCATCCATGTGCTTGTTCGTGTGCTGCTCCACAGCCAGGCAGCTTGGGCCAACATTTACAATAATGAGAGATGTCATCTATTCTTCGGCTAACATCTTGAGATGGCCCGCTCTGTGTTAAAGCCCCCCAGGGGGAAAGGAGAGGGGAGGGATGGAAGGGAGAAGGATGGATGGAGGGTCAGAGATGCAGCTGAATGTATACACCAGACTGTAATGAAGCAGGACATACGATATCGGCCCGAGGAGCACTGCTGGATCCATGCTTATGTAATGCTTTTAACACATTGAGCCATTTGACTCTTTCTAGAGCCAGCCGGCAAGCCAGCAAATGGGAATATCGGGGTGTGTGTGTGTGTGTGTGTGTGTGTGTGTGTGTGTGTGTGTGTGTGTGTGTGTGTGTGTGAGTGTGTGCGAGTGTGCGTGTTTGCGTGTGTGTGAGTGTGCGTGTGTGAGTGAGTGAGTGAGTGAGTGAATGTGTGTGAGAGTGGAAGTATAGATGAGTGAAAGAAATGTTAAATACAGTAATTGTGAGGATAAGATAATAGATCAGAGTAATTTATTTGTGTGTGTACAGGGAGAAAGAAATGTGAGCTCAACCCCCTCCCATGAGTGTCCAGTGTCTGTTTTGAAGGTGCGTGTGCATGTGTGTAAAAGAGGTGAAAATCCTCAGGCCTGTCAGAGTTGTCAGCTGGTGTCTGACTATGGGACACAGGAGGATTCCTATAGCAGTCCTGAGATGGTCAGACTGCGCCAGCAGAGGAGAAACCTGGGATATGAAAACCTTTTCCAAAGCAGCATTCAGACCCAAAATCTCTGCATCTCTCTCATTTATTCCTTCTCTCCTTATTGGTAAAGAGTTTAGATGTTTGGACGGCTGGACGCAATTTGAGACTGCATTGAGACTGTTGATCAAATAACTAATTTATAGAAGCAATACTGTCTGACAACATACACATAAATACACATCAATGACAACACCTGTGTTGTGGGATCAGCATCTATGATAAGCACATTTCTGCTACAGTGTCTGAGCAGACGTATTTCATCATTCTGAAAATGCCATTTATTTCTTTTTCAGACAACAAAGCCAGACTTGTATTTTCAGATCTTACAAGGGATGTGAGGACTATTACGATGATAGGGGAGATGGGGGAGATGGAGGAGATGGGAAGGTGAACCAGTGGCAGTTGGTTTGGCCATTGGTTTTATTGCAGCGAAAAAGGGGTTGAACTCAACTACATACTGCGAACTCTACTGGACAAGGCTGGAGGAAGATTCAAGATTAGTGCAGAGAGACTGTATACAGCGAGAAGAAAGAGCAGAAATGTAAAAGGAGTGTAGTATGGCCAAAATGAAGATTTAGGAGGGGTAAGTGGGATGTGGAAAGTGGGCTTAGGCCTTCATTTAGCTTGAGTCCACTCTCTGGTCACTGAACTTTGTCTGTCCATAATGGGCAGCTTTGTGGTCAGAGAGAAGGTGGCAGACATGACGTGTAGTTCTCAGCTGAGCTCTGGGGGAGAGAGGGGGAGGCCCCCTCGAACTTACAATGAGCTTATACACACAGACCATGTGTGTACATATAGCAGCAACGGATGGCTGTGCATGTAAGTCTAGGCATACACTACAATGCAGACAGGAACACACACGCCCACACATGTACTAATGTGTCAAAAACATGGCAGGAGACCAAGGCTGGTAGTCTTAACACTTGTGATGATCACTTTGAGCACCAAGCAAAACACCCACACATGCATCCTGTGTGTGTTGACATGTGTGTGTTAATGTGACTCAGACGCACAGACGTTAGTTGCATGTAGGTGACAAACCCTGGAGTGCTAAACTGGTAAAACGACCCTGTGGGATGTTGTGGTACCACACAAAATAACAACACTGCACTACCATATACCATACTTTGGCTGACAGTGTTACTATCTGGATCTCTTTTTGTTTCAGGGGCAGACTCAAGTGATGATCCACAGACCCTGGCCTGGAGCATGCAACCTACCCATAGGCCCACACAGACATGCTGACAGTTCTGCAGACAACAGCACATTTACACACACACACACACACACACTCTACGAAACCAGAGCCTCTTTAAAGAGTGTGCTTGCCCTCTCTCTCCGCCCTTCTTCCTCCTCCTCACTCTCTCTGCATTTCTCGACATATGTTTACCATTAAGACTGGCAGGTGTTGTGGGCCTGCCCCTACTCTCTATTGTTGCCCTGCAGCCGTAGCCAACATGGGAAGGCCTGTGAAAAGGTTACGTAAAAAAAAGTTACGCTCAGAGGCAAGGACGTTCTTACTCTGAGAACCCCCCAAAATTATAACCCAAACCTGTTACTAAAGGCAAAGCCTACATAAAATATATATTTGTAGTGGAGCATAACTTTAACTCTATCCAACACCCTTATTTAACTTGCTCTGGAGATGGTTATATGTAAGACTTGCCAAGAATATGAAACATTGACTGAAACAACATGCACAGAACAGGCTATCTTGAAAACAAAGCACTGAAAAAGAGAGAAGCAAACAGACAGAGGGGAGCAGGGAAAACATTAGCAACACAGTCAAAGAAGAAAATGAAAGCGTGTATCTGTACCACTGGTTTACCCCTTCCCCCTCTCCCTATCTGCACTACCTGAAACAGTGCTCTGGTCTTCATGGCCCAGGCTGAGGGGAATAGGAGTGGGCGGGGGTGGAGATCGGGCCAGGGAAAGGGTTAATGACACATGTCTGGACTAATGGCTCCCAGTGGAGCTATCTGCTGATTCAGCCCCATTACTTCACAAGCATTAAATACGTCTGCCCTGACCGCTCTCTGCTCCCCCCAGCCCCAATGCAAGTCAACAACATGCTAATCAAAATGGCGGACATGATATTTCCAGACTTTCTATGCTTTTCTATCTCTTCATCTCTGGCAGGTCTGTCACACTGAAGCAAACATCTAGGAAAAACTAAAACATCGATTAGTGTTAATGGGTCAACCTGAGTCTGTGACACTGCTAAAAACCTGCACTTTATGTAGCTACAACACTGCTGGGCATTAGTATAAAAAGATGAGCACAATGATGTACATGTAGTACATATACAGTACTATATAAATAGTAAGAAATTATACTGCAGTAAATATTGACGACCTATTATAGACCTGTAGCCCTATCAAAATCCACTCCTCTCAATTGCAATGTTTTAATATGTCAAGTATAAGTTGTTACATGAAGTTACACATTGCCATGTGACAACAGTATAGACAAGGGGTTAGTCCAATGTGTAATCCACTTTAAATGACATGGAATTTTCCTGTGGCCAACATTGATAGTATGAATGAGTGCGATAAACATGTTCAACATCTAAGATCCCGTGGACGCTACAGAGAAACTTTCCCAAACAAAAGAAAACAAATAAAAAGTTACAAAGTTCACATGTTGTACATGTTGAATGACCTTTGCTAACAATTG